TCATGTGTGAAGTTGATCTTTATATCAAAACATAGGGGACGGTGGGGCAAAATGAAATACGGGGCAAAATGAAATAGCAAGAAAATCTTGTGATCTAAGGGAGATAGAACGATTTTCATGAAAACCTTTTTTGTAGAGAATTTTACAAGCTACAAAAAAGGTCCTCTTCAAAAATGTCCTATCTCCTTTAGATGACGAGATTTTCCCACTGTTTCATTTTGCCCCGTGTTTCATTTTGTCCCATGCTCCCCTATCTAAATTGCCTTATTGTTGATCATGTGAAAAAAAACAGGATTTCTAAATTTTTTTAACTCACAAATTATTCTTCACTTCCCATATTCTAATTTTTTCATATTTATCACACGCCAAAATGATCAATTCTTGCTTCTCAGATTTTCATACATAAATTCTAAACTCTACAAAATTCACGAAAATTCTTCGGTTTCCCAAATAATTCGAGAAAAATCTGTGATCTACGGTTATCTGGAAAACTGTGAAATTTTCCGAAGAATTCAAGAAATTTTTTCAGTTTTCTAGGAAATCAATTCATAACCCTCCCCTGATTTTTCAACAATTATAAATTTTAAGCAGATTACGTTAAAAAGTAAAAAAAAAAGAATTAATCGAAGATTAAAAATTATTGATTGATGCTTCACTCTTCATTCTCTTCATTCTCTTAATTCTCTTTTAGTCATTATCAATATTTATAAAACATCTATGAGTATATGAAGTTTAATAAATTCGATTTCTTCATTTTCACAACAAATAGATAAGCGCGCGCGCACAGATCTAGTAATAAGAATAGTGCAGTAACGCGGGGCTGGATTATGTCATTGCCGAGTGCACGCAACTGTGGCGGTAGTGCCATTAGTGGAAGAATCCAAGTTGCGGAATTTCTCGGGTATCAACACCCTGATTGTTACCTGTTCTGCTTACTTGGAGCTGGGAAACTTCTTGGGATGTTCATTATGTCAGACGTGTGACGCATATGAAGAGGTTTTTGTGGCGAGAATCGGACTGAAATTGTCGAAGCCTCGATTTTCAATTGCAATTTTTTTTTTAAATATGGGCTATGAGGGGAATTATTGAAATTTTATATATTTAGGATGGAATTTTATTCAATTTAATTATCTGATGGAATTCTAGTGAAAATCATATTTAGTTTTTGTTGATTTACAGTTGTAAACAGGAATTTTTAAAATGTTTCTCAATTTTTTTTGTTTTTTATTGAAAAATACAAAAAGAAATTGATTTATCCGTAATATTTCTCAGGAAATTCAAGTAATTTGGCCCTTTGTTCGTTGAAATCCTTCTCTATAACTGTAGTCCAACATTAGACCATCAATTTAATGATTTTATCACCTACACTTCCGGCTCTCGACATTTAATTTTTCACGTGGAGTCGTTAGGAAAAATTTTAACCATCTGAAATAAATGAGGAAGTCTTCGTTTTGAAAACGACTCATATAATACTTTAAAAAAATGAAAATACAAATAAATTAAAGTCAATTTCATTGAATTATCAACTGTGAATAATTTGTTAATTTGTTCGTATCGTCATTTTTCGGGCAGTGATTTCTCCCAAGAACATAAAACTTTTTAATAGGTCTGAATAAATTGAAATTATTTACCTATAAAAACGAAATATTAGGAATAAGAATTTTGATTGAAAATTAATTTAGGGAGACAGTAGTGGTCACACGGGTAGAGTGCGACTCCCGCGGTCGTCCAAGCTACACGATTTAGTATAAAGTGGAATTTTTGTGGACAGTCGAATACTCATTTTCAGGAGAGTGACATGAATTTATGAAATGTCCGATTCTACTGAAAATTCAATGAAATTCCATATTTTTTAACAGCATTGTGATAAGAATCCCTCAACCTCTTTGCATTTTCAATGAAATCGTGAATATTCAGTACCGAATTAAGATTAATTTTCAATTAATTAAAAATTCAACAACATATTTACCGGAATTTTTCTGATTTCTACCAATTTAGGGAAATAATTGAACTGAAATTTAAAGTTCTCATGAATTTTCTCAGAAAATTCTGAATTTTCAATGACGAAATGCCTTAAAATTTCAGAACTGGAATGTGATAAAAATTTCCTACCTATATGACCCTTAATTTAAATCTTGCGACCCTTATTTGGACCATTACTTTGACCCTCATGACCTGTGACCCTTAATCTGACCTTTGCGACCCTTATTCTGACCCCCGTGATCCTTATTCTGATCCTCATGACCCTCGTGATCCTTATTCTGACCCTCATGACCCTTATTGTAATTCTTGTAACCCTAATTTTATCCTTATGACCCTTATTCTGACCCCATGACCCGTAATCTAATCCTCGTTACCCTTACTCTGACCTCCATGACCCTTAATCTGACCCTTGTGACCCTTATTCTGACCCTCGTGATCTTTATTCTGATCCTCATGCCCCTTATTTTGACCCTCAAACCCTTAATTTTGGAGTCTTAATTTCGAGTAACAAATTTTTACCACCAGAAGTCGATTTGAATTTTTGTAACATACAGAGATTAACTGGAATTTTTTCATTAAAGAAAACTGAAAATGATGGAGATTTGATTCGTAATATTTTTATTCATCAAGAATAATTTTTTATTTCATTGTAAAAGAATTTTTATATTGACGTGGATAGGGGTATTTCAACCGAATCCTTGGGAACTCTACAAATCTCCTGAACGGGACATAGCTAGAATAATTCAGCCGTCATCTCACGGACTTTTCAGATCAAAATATTCGACTCGGGTACAGAATGCAGATTTCAGTGAATTTATCAATCGCAATGTTTTTCCATTTATCGTGGACTTTTACCCTTCAAAGTTCACTGTATTATGCAATCCTGTAAATTAATTGGCATTAGATGAGTGGAAAAAATACATGAAATTGGAATTTGGAGATTTCCTTTTCTACTGAGTGATAAAAAGGACCAGGGTGTGCCCCGATACGGAAACAGGTGCGCCTGTGTCGTTACTCTGCTTTTCCACCTTCGGTTAGCTCCCACTTTGGCTTCCACTCGTTTGTAATCGGCATCGATGGAGCAGGCTCGCCTCGATGCTTTCACTGCAAGCGCTCAGTAGAAATTCATCGCGCCGAAGGATTGCTTAGGGAGGATTTAAGGACGAGGAGCGCACCTGTTCTGGAGGTTTCAAGGCAGGTGTCAGAATTTTAATTTCGTGTGTAATTTCAGTTCCAAGGAGTTATTATTTCTGTGTTCTTTTTCGCTGATTTCTGTGGCAAATGCAGATAGTTCGATGGATTATGCTGTAATTACCGCCTTATTGTCATTCGAAATCCATTAAGTCGACGCAATATATACATAAATGTTGATGGAGAATTCATACCGAAGAAATTGAAGAAGTGCTCAGTATGATTTCGTCATTTTCCTCGGGATCTGATATTTTTTATTGTGAGTGGAAGCTTTGTAATCCCTCAAATTTGAGTTTCCAATTTTTTCTGTGTGAGAATTATTGAATGGATGTGGTCTTTTTTCACTATTTTTTTCGGAGTTTTCTTCTATCGAACTTCATGAAATTTTCATTAATATAGACTTTAATAACCTGTATTCATTGATATTAATTAAAATTCCATTTTTCATAGTTTTGAAAAAATTGATATTTTTCCAAAAATCGATTTTTCAACGATCACTCAAAAATTGTCATCAAAATGGAATTAGTCATGGCTCAAAAAATTGATAACAATACCCTCTTAATTCTATCAGAATATGATGGGGGTCGCACAATTCGTTGTTGAGTTACAGCACATTGTTTATGCGATTTGAAAGAGAAAATCTGTTTTTTCATGATTACTGAAAGAATCATCAGTAATATCAATTAAATCAGGGCTTGAAAGGTATATTTCAATGCCTTCTTAATCAAGTTGAAAAATGGTGAGAACAGCATCATTGCTTATCAAGTTACACAATACCGTCATGAGCTTTTTATATCAAAATCTCTATCTCTATTAAACTCAGGTACCAGTCTATTATGTTGAATACTTATTCATATTGATTCATGGTGCCGACTAACTTCTGACAGAACCTGGGTTAAACTCTGGCTAAATCCTGAATAAACCCTGATTAAATCCCGGCTGTACACTGATTAAACCTTGATTGAACCTTGATTAAACCCGGACTGAAAACGAATTCGCGTCTTGAGAGGGTCTGAATGCAGAATCATTTGACACAACGAAATAATACGGAAAATTTTTATGACATTTCAATTGATGATAGTACTATGACATGAAAAAATAAAAGAAGAGAATAGTGAAATAAGAATTTTAAGGAAGAGAATCCTTTCGGAGGTAAATTGCTAATTTACTAGCAACAATAACTATACTCACTCCAAAAAAATCAATTAAGGTTTGCAAATTTCCTGGAAATTCATGAATACATTAACCTCAATTTTCCTGATTTTATCAATTAAATTCATCGATCAAATCGTGAATTTCTTGAAATTTCCAGTGAAACTCCTCAACAAAAATTTTCCAGAAGTGTACCAGAAATTTCGGCCCAAAAATTGTCAACTATACACAACAATCTCACCTACAATTCCAACAACCCCATTTTTTCAGTTATCTAACCGATAAATGAACTATTTAATCGGCAAATCTAATCACAATTGAACACCAGTCAGCGTTACGATTGCCTTCCTCTAAACACTCCAGACGCGCCACGGAAAAATCGGAAAAATACAGTGATTTATCAGCGGAGATTTGTCAGGTAGTTCCCATGAGAAATCCGATAACTCGGATAAGGTAGAATCGTCGGCGTTCCCGTTATCGATGCCCCAAGATTTTGAGAATGTGCCTCTCGAACGACTGTACGAGTGAGACACACACGACAGGCATCCGCACGTGCATTTTGAAATGCTGCTCCCCCCCTACTTGTTTGATAACTCGTCGGGCCTCCATAGTGGGAGGATTCTCCCCGGATTTAAAAGCCACGCTGTGTATTAAAACAGATCAGTGCACCACTTCAAGTCTTTGATTGAGGTGAACGGTTTTTTTCGGTTCCATTTTCTGTAACAGTGGGAACAGTATCCAGTCCACGTGATTTCGACGCTGAAGTTCGATAATATACGGGTACGGAAAGATTTTTTATACTATCGAGTTGTCATCAATTTTTTGAGGATTTGATCGGATTTGAAGGTGCAAGTGCCATTGACTAAGACAAATATTTTCATCAACATTGTAAAGACAACGGGTCATTCTGTTTTTCATGAGATGAAGTTAATTTCAATAATATACAAGAAATTAATGAGTTTTTTCTATTTTTGAATGAAATTGAGGTTTTTACAATTGCATGATTGAAAAGTTTTAGAATTGTCATGGATTCAAAATTTACTGCAGTGAAAAATCTTCTCATCCAACGAAAAAAACGTAGTGGTAGAAAATTTAGGATGAAGGATGGATTTCCGTCTTTTATTCTGAAAGATTGATCGTGATTCGAGTGTAATTACTACTGAAAGAGTCTTTTTAAGAATTCTAGGGGAGGATGGGGCAAAACGGCCCCCCTTCAATCGTCAATATTTTCCGATTCAATAATCCGATTGGGATGAGTTAGAGCTCGTTTTGAAGAATGAAAAATTATCTTCAAAATGAAGTTGAAACTGGGAATTTTCACAATGTCATTCACAAGTTATTGACAATTGAAGGGGGGCCGTTTTGCCCCACCCTCCCCTATCTTAATTATGCAAGATAAATTGTAGAGTTATCGTCAGGGAATTATTTGAGGAGTTGATCAGATTGAAATGTGCAAGTGCCGTTCACAAAACAGAAAAATTTCGTCAAAATTGAAAAAAAAATAACTCATTTAATTTTTCATGAGACAAAATTAATTTTAATTATGATTTCGAAACTACTTGTTTTTAATTAATGAAATTCCCGTCTGGCCGTGACTTAAAAATTCACTTCAGTGATAAATAACTTCATCTAACGGAAACTAATGTCTTTTATTCCGAAAAATCGATTGCATTATTAATTTCTACATGAAATAGCCTTTTTTTAAAAATAATTTCATGAATATTACGCAACGAATTATGAAATTGTAATAGTAAATTTAGTTTAAAATTTTCAAATTCAGTGTATATTTCCAATTATCTAGTCAAAACTTGTAATTTTTTCCTAAACGATCAAATTCTACCACAATTTTTCTAAATGCGCACACATTTTTCTCCCTATATTTTCCTTCTCGATCGAACGACCTTTTTCCCGCGCAATTCTACCCTCATGAAGCGATTAGGTTTCGTTTAATTTTCAAATTTATTGAAAACCAACCCCTCCACTATTATTTGAAACGATCCAAATGTCAATGTATTTGCCGTGCATTGCGAATGAATGAGTTGGAGTAACAAACACGCCCGAGGGAATCGATCCAAAAGTGGCCTGCGTACACTTTTATCATGCCACTCCCCCAACATTCCATCTCTCTTAGGTTTCCATACCTCACTCGGCCCTCAACTTCGATTATTAATTTTTCAACGCGTCAGCGAAGAGAGAGAGAAACATCAAGAGGTGCCCTACGAGTTTCCAGGCATTTCGACTCTAGAGAAATTTTCTTTGAGCTATCCCTTTGATCGATCGAGGTCACATTCTCTCCCCGGAACATTCAGTATTTTTTATAAACAAATTCTCAAGTTTTCACGGAAAATCGAAAAAAAAATTTACTGAATTTTTCCAGAAATATTGGATATTTATGTTGAATTTCTCTAGATAGCAAAAATCGTCAAAATCAGTGATTACAAAGCTTCCATTCGCAAGCAAAATCATAACATTTTAAATCTACTGAAAATTCCATGGAATTCCAAATTTTTAAAAATTGAATTAATAGTTGAACAAAATAAATCGTCCATTTAGGAGTGAAAAAATTATTAGATTTCAAATTTCACTAAACATTCGATGGAACTTCAGTTTTTTTAGCAAAAAAAAATAGGAATTACTCAAGCTACTAAAATTATCATATTAATTAAAATTCCAAAAATATATTCAGTAGTAATACCACAAGAGCTTCAAAATTATCAGGTATTTCCCGATAACTTCGTTGGAAATAAATGAGGGTGTCAAGTTTTGCAGGTTAAAAAATCCCGAGGGGTTGTGCAAGGGATTTTTCTGCAAAAATTAGCACGATAGATTGTTTGCAGGGGAGGGTGAGGGAAATACCCGATTAATTTTGAATCTCAAGGGGTATTTGTCAGATTATTTTTCGATTATTTTTCCATATTTTTTGACCAAGCAGAGTGCAGTGGACAAAATCAGGAGGTGAATGGGGAAGATTTGAACAAATTATGTTAATAGAATTTCCCGATTTCCATAGACTATTAAATATAAGATTCTATCTGGAATGAGCTGAAAAAATGAAGAGCTACTGCGAAATATTCACTTGTAATACCACAAGAGCTTCAAAATTATCGGGTATTTTCCGATAAGTTCGTAGCAAACAAACGAAGGAGTTGACGTCTTTCAGGTTAACAAATCACGAGTGCAAAGCACGAGTGATTTTTTCTGAAAAACATGACGACTTCGTTTGTATGCAGGGAACCTAGAGAAAAATGCCCGATTAATTTTGAAGCTCGTGCGGTATTCGGGAGATTATTTTTCCAATCCAAATGTCGAGCAATATAATTGAACCATGAGACGAAACTCACAATTGAGAAACGAAAATTGTGTAATTAACACAACGACACAATTCAATTCAATCTGTCAGTTTGACGAGGGGTTAAATCGACTGCATGATGTTTTATTTTTTATGTAGCAACTACCAGAGAAAATTATCAAAAAATTATCACTTGTAATACCACAAGAGCTTCAAAATTATCGGGTATTTTCCGATAGGTTCGTTGCAAACAAACGAAGGAGTCAAGTTTTTCAGGTCAAAAAATCACGAGTGCGAAGCACGAGTGATTTTTCCTGAAAAACATAACGACTTCGTTTGTATGCAGGGAACCTACAGAAAAATGCCCGATTAATTTTGAAGCTCGTGTGGTATTCGGGGGATTATTTTTCCAATCCAAATGTCGAGCAATATAATTGAACCATGAGACGAAACTCACAATTGAGAAACGAAAATTGTGTAATTAACACAACGACACAATTCAATTCAATCTGTCAGTTTGACGAGGGGTTAAATCGACTGCATGATGTTTTATTTTTTATGTAGCAACTACCAGAGAAAATTATCAAAAAATTATCACTTGTAATACCACAAGAGCTTCAAAATTATCGGGTATTTTCCGATAGGTTCGTTGCAAACAAACGAAGGAGTCAAGTTTTTCAGGTCAAAAAATCACGAGTGCGAAGCACGAGTGATTTTTCCTGAAAAACATAACGACTTCGTTTGTATGCAGGGAACCTACAGAAAAATGCCCGATTAATTTTGAAGCTCGTGTGGTATTCGGGGGATTATTTTTCCAATCCAAATGTCGAGCAATATAATTGAACCATGAGACGAAACTCACAATTGCGAAACGAAAATTGTGTAATTAACACAACAACACAATTCAATTCAATCTGTCAGTTTGACGAGGGGTTAATTCGACTGCATGATGTTTTGTTTTTATATAGCAACTGCCAGAGAAAATTATCAAAAAATTATCAGTTGAAAACCGTGTAGCTTGTACCACGTGATGTCGAATGAGCCAATTATATTTCCCGATATTTGGGTTGGAAAAATAATCACGTGAATTTACCAGATTTGATGGATTTTATTCATCGATTAAATAGTAAATTCCCCGATATTTCAGTGGAAGAGTCACTCGACAAAAATTCCTTCAAAGTATACCAAAAATTTCAGCCCAAAAATTCACTATTTCTGTTCTATCAAAGTTTATTCTTTAATCTTTTTGTGGTAAGTTAGTATTTAATTCTAGATTATTATGATAAGAACCCTTATCACTTCAATATGTGAAGGTATTGGTTACGCGCTCACATTCAAGTATGTGAGGATCACTTCTCTGAGTGATAGTATTATCTATAAATTTTCCTACTTCGGGTAAAAATGTTCATTCCCCTCTCGTACAGGAAAACTTGATAGACAAAACAATTTCTTAGTACATTCACTGCTAAATTGCATTGAATTTTTATCGGAAATTCCATTCATCTTCATCTCCGATTTTAAATTTTGTGAAAAATTTTAGAGAAAAAAAGTTCGTATTGTAGGGAATAAACGATGATTTTCCTTGGGCTATTCCGTCGATCGATCGAAGATATAAATTCTCTCGGAAAATTCCATATTTGTGATCTATCGCGATTGGTCCTTCCACCTATGAGAAAATTGATTATTTAGTTCTCAAAATGAATAAAAAGAAGCTGTGATAATACTCAAAATACTCAATACTCCAAATTAAGTTTTAATTTGTAATTTGGTGCTGAAAACACAAGATGACAATATTCCAAACGCGGAATTATATTGATGAGATGGGTAACAGATTAATTAAATTACCGTGTGAACTAACTAAAAATTGATTGAAAGAAGGAACTGAATTGCAATTATCATTAAAATCTTATTCAGGCAGCTTAGGAATTAGAACATGAGCAAACTATCCATTGTAATATGAAAATTGAACAGCTGATAAATTGAGACGTATGATTCTCATCGGTGGTATTTCTTTTTGCAATGAGAACGATTATAAACAATTAATTCAGTAGCGAAGTGGTGAAACGGTTCAAGTCAATTTTGACTATTGGCCAGTTTTCACTGAATATCTCGGAACTTAAGGGAGATAGCAAAATTTTTGTTATAAACTTTTTTGTAGAGCCGATTGAGAGTCACAAAAAATATAATTACGAAAATTTCGCTATCTCCCTTGGATTCGGAAATATTCCTCAAAAACTGAACTGGGAGATAAGTGGGCCATCAACACGGCGCTGCTATTAAGAAAAATGTTATAAAATGAAGAAATGTTGATGTATATATCATCACACTATACAGCAGTACCATATTTTTCCTTTTGAAGATTAAATTCCACAAATATAACATTTTGATGGCCCACATTGGTGCATTCCCTTGCGTGGCCACAGGTCCAGCCCCACTCCCTCGACTCCAGAGTGAGTCACAGCGTCCCCACTCCACCCGTCACTCACCCGTA